AGTTATGGGAAGCCAAACTTTATACCAAATATTATATGAAAACCCTTGTTCAGGAATTGAAGGAATTACAGATATATAAGTTAGGATTTCTCTTGTGGCAGATCCCAGAAAATGAGCTGTTTGTTCCCTGCAGACAGGAGACAGCTAGGGGCCCCCTACAGAGGGAGTGTTACTTCCTAAGCTAGAGTTCACCGTGAGGCATCAAAGTTAATAGTTAAGGGTAAACCAAATTCTTGCATTTGTGAACCCCTCCTTCCTAAGTCAAGCAGATGGTCTTCAATAGAAAGAGCTTGGCTTCATTTGCATTGAATTCTCTTTGTGATTTAGTTCCTGATAATTTTCAATAAAGATACAGAGAAGCTTGGCTTGGGGTCTTCAGTTGAGAACTGCTGGCCCCCTGTTTTATGCTCTCTGCTCTATCACATTCCTGGCTGTTTGTCTCATTATTAATAATTGTAAAATTATTCCATTCTTAGGGACCCTCGATCTGCAACACACAGTGACACACAGGAGAGGGCACACTGAGATCTCTTGGGAGTTGTGGCCGACAGAACAGCACCTAACAACAGCCAGCACACACCCATGTGAACTTTCTCCTTCCCGTGATTATGTGCCTGGGTTGTTCGGTTGTTTTGGGGGGTTTGTGGGGGTATTTTAGCACTCTTCTGTCAATTTGCTGTACTGAAGTAACCTGGGGTTGCTTTGATGCTGAACCTTGTGTCATTGGAATGTCAAATGCCATAACAGTTACCCATGGTAGACAGTGTTTGGGGGAGTTCCTAGTTTAAGACAGGTTTGGAAGCAAGAGTAACATGGACTTCCTAAATAACATGCCTCTGGAAACTCTATGAACTTTGAGAAATTACAATAGTTATAGAAAGGCTTCAGGTCTTTTGTTCACAGGGTCACTGTGAATCATGCTCAACTTGATGGCAATCAACAACAACAACAACATTTGGCTTTTATTTTGTACTGCCTATCCTCAAATGCCATCATGTTTTAGTCTCAGGGGATAAAACAAGACTATTTTTATTTTGCTTTAGTCTTAAGCATAGTTACATGCAGAGTAAAACTTAAGAGTGAAATGGAAGCCTTGCTGGTCTTTTGAAAGAACCCGATTTCTCTTGCTGGTATTTATTTTTCATTTTCTGTTTCAATTATTTTTGAAAATTCCTTTCATTTTGAGGGATGCATGCTGTTTTTTGACAAGTCTTGAAGACATAATGGTTCGGTGTTCAGCTGCTAACTCACAGATCAGTGGTTCAAATCCACCAGCCGCCCCATGGGAGAACAATGTGGCAGTCAGCTTTCTTGAAGAAGTATAGCCTTGGACCCTATGTACAACAGCTCTGAAGCCTGCCCTGTCCTGAGCCAGTCTCACTGCCTCCACACCTACCCCCCATTATTATTTTTATTAGCAGGCAAGCACTTTAACCACTGTGCTACTAATATTGTTCATATGGTTAGATGTCCAAAATACTTGTTCATCCTAAGTAATATTTATAAGGAGCTCTGTTCTTCATATGTCATTAAATATATACATTTTAAAATAAAATTAATTGGGGGAAAAAAGTATAGCCTTGGAAATTCTCCTCTGCCCTGGGGCATTGCTACAAGAAAGAGGTGACTTACTTGCAGTGAGTTTAGGCGTCTTTGGAGGGGTTGAGGGGGAGGAAGAGTAAACTTACAGAAGCAGACTGCGCAGTTCTTCTTTTGTGACACCCTTGAGTTTAATCCCACACTTTTAGGTTACTGTTAGTGTTGTTGTTGTTGTTGTTGTCATCATGAACCGTCACGTTGGAGTGTACCCATAGCTGACCATCCAAAGGGTTTTCAGAAGCAGTTAATTATATAGTAGGAGATTGTCCATCTTTCTCCTGTGTAGCAGTTGGATTCAAACCATGTGTCTTTGGGGTTACAGCACAGCTTCTTACCACTAGGCCACCAGAGCTCCCTATAGTAACTATTTTTTTTTTATTTTCCCCCACCCTTTTATTTTTAGCCTGTCTTTATCTTCATTTTTCATGTGTGTCTCTTGTAGACAACATATTGATGGATTTTGGTTTTTTTTATCCAATCTGCTACTCTCTTTC